ACATGGACTTCCGAAGTCAATTGTCACTGACAGAAATCCACGCTTCACTGGGAAGTTTTGGTCGACGATCTTTAAGGTGCTGGGCACCAAGTTGACTATGTCAACAGCAGAGCATACGCAGACCGGTGGTCAGACTGAGGGCGTGAATTGCGTCGTTGGAGACGTTTTTCGCAGGGACTGTGTTGAGGAGCCGAGGCGCTGGAGCGTGATTCTGCCAGTTGTGTAGTTTGCTCTGAACAATGCAGCGCATGCGTTTACCGGCAACATGTCGTTTTACGCGGACGGAATTGTCAATCCTCGCCCCCCCTGACACTGCCATCCCATGGATTCGGGCTTGGTGGGGAAGGAATAGTCGACGGGCTAGCTGACATCAGCCCCTTCGCTGTTCGTTTGAAGTCGAGAACTTTCTGTCTACCAGACTGAGTACGCTCGCGATGCGATGGCTGAAGGCCCAAACATGCAGAAAGAATATGAGGACGAAAGAATCAGATTGAATTTTGTAAACCTTGAGGTCAAAGACCTGATTTTATTAAATGCTAAAAATCTTCCTACATATGCGATGTACGCTGTCGTTAAAGGCGAAGCTCCGTCCACAGTTTATCGGACCTTTTTAGGTCGTGGCCAAGCGAGTCCTAGCGTATACGGTGAATGTTCCGAGAAGGATGCGCACCAACCCGGTGCTTTTATGTAGGCATGTTAAGCCGTACTGGGATGCGGCGCAAAGAATAAGCGCGAAAAAGTTGGCGCCGGAGCGGCGCCCAAAGGCGCTCGGCCACCCAAAAGTTAGACCAGCAAATGGTTCTGAGCATGGAGTGCAACAACTTCTATCTCCAACGGCGCAAGGCACCTCAGCGTCGCACGAATTGACGTATTCGACGGCAAAGAGCTGCTCCGACAGAGCATGATAATCCTCAACGCGAGGCAGTCGGTGCACAAAGTGCTCCTGACTCTCGAGGTCTTCCGCACAGCGGTAGAAGATGCTCTTCAGAGTGCCGATGACGACGGGCTATGTCGTCCAACGTTCGAAGAGCATCGCGAGTCACTGGACGGCGATCAACCAGGTCGTCATCGTCCGCCGCCAACTCTTCTCGACAAAAACGGTGGCGCCAACTATCATGTCGAATGTCTTGTGTGTAGACAGGTCAAACTTAGTAACTTTTGAAATGATGAAGACACCCCGACTTCAAGATCTCGTGGGAGTTCGAGGTACCACTTCGACAAGACTGACCAGACATTGTGAGAAAGATCACGACAATCCGCGTCGTCGTATGCCCCGCGCTTCTTGGCAATAGCCAGAGAAGTCGATGGGTCATGAGCTGAGCTCAAGCTATGGCCCTAAGCTGCTGTGGTCGCAGACTCACCCGAGTGAGAGATCACAGAGTTTGTGGGAGTATGATCAATTGATGTATTCGTCACAGAACGACAATACGGAGGTCGACGATGCGCCTTAAGTCTGGGAACACAAACCAAAGATGGCGTTTTATGCGCACGTTTGCCTCCTTGTGTCTCAGCTGTACGTTGGGCAGCGAAGAAAACTTCTGTTGCCGCCGCACCCATCGCTCAAAGAGGTCTTTGTCATATGCAGTGATTTTGCTTCGCACTAACGATCGAGTGATCGCGTTGTTCGCTTCTATAGCGGGATCCGCCGAGCGAAAGCCGTATTCCACACGAGGGTCTAGAATCAAACGCGAATTAGAGCGCAAGAGAGCAGCCCTGTGGACAGCCTCTAGTTGCTACTTCTGTGCCTCGTCGAGGCAATTGGTAATGATAAACCTTCTTCGGAAGTCGAGAGGTCGGGAAATGGACAAGGCGTCCGCAAGGTTCGGGCAGGGATCACATCGCGCCGCTGGCGCACCTCGTCCTCTTTTTCTTCCGTGGGAAAGAAGTATTTGACTCGTAGTCCATTTTCTTAATTTCTCGACGGGATAATCCGTCGCCCGTGGCGGGCGTGGTGTGCGTCGCCCAGTTATCGAGGGCTTGAGATGCGCTTCCCTTGGAGCCGCGGACGTTCTGTTTGAAATTGCATCGCGTAAAGAAGACAAAAAGGTTCCAGTTCGCGGCGTCTCGAAACCAGCGAGAATGGTTGTCTTTCGTGTCATAGACACATGGTTCATTGAGCAGAGAATGCGCGCAGAAGGTCCTGGGGACGTAGAAGTGTCGTAGACACGCGATCTCAGTACGAGGTGTGCAAAGGGGCTGTCGTAGCTCTTTGCTTAGAGAAAGCTCAGCTAAGGTCACCGACCTTACGTTCTTTCCCAGACTCAGTACAAGTGTAGCGGATCGCGATACGCTACTTCTAAGTAATAAATCCTTAACTAGTGCAAACGAACACTTCTGTTCAAAAGCGAAACCGTATTTCATTGTTCTAGTTGCGGCAGAGCCGCCAATATATCAAATCCTAGGGTTTCCTAATTAGTACAGAAATACTTCATTATTATAACAGAATCTGATGACTATGGTTATATGCATAACTACTGGTAGACCTGCCACGTAGTGGCTTCTGATACGATGTAGCCACACCACTGTGCTATCAGCCTAACTATGCAATGCACACTACGGTCACACAATCTTGTGCGACCCGCCCTTTCTTACAAGGGTACGTGTAACCGTTCAACTCTCCCCCATTTGAAATGTGATTTTTCTCAATACGCATTTAGCGGTCGCCTCATACGAGGCTCGCGTGTTTGATACACCTTCACGTTTCTAAGAACAACTTTAAATTTTCTCCGCTCTATGAGCACTGTGTCTACGACGTCCAAACACATAGCCTAGGTAGTAGCGAGGGCGCCCGCGGGTAAGGCCCTTATTTCCGTCGCACAGGTTGCAACTCCGGACAGTACGCTCCCGGCCGAACGGAATGCACATTCCAAGCCCTCAGCGACCTAGCGCATCAAACCGCGCCCGGCCCGGATGACGGGCCTCGTCGTGGAGTTGGAGGAAGTCGACTACGAGTCGGACACTCTTTTCCTAGCATGGGAAGACGTGAAAGATGAAGTGCGCTAACAGGAACGTCGTGAAAATTTCCCGATAAATAAGAATCGATCAGGATCTTTCATGGCTTCTCCAAGCCCTTCGCGATTGTTTACGACCAGCAAGTCCGACTTGTACACACGTTTCGTGTTTGAGAGTACGCATCTTCTCGGGGTTGGGCCTTGCTGCCCTCAACCTTTTTAAGGCTCAACAGAACTTTATTCTCCCCCAGAGGAGCGCCCCCCCCTACAGTGTTTTTCGTTTCCCCGAGACAAACTTGGCTGATTAGAAGCGGGACGTCAATCGACGAACCCTGACGCGCCTTGCGAAGTGGACAACCGGTTCGAAGGTGACAGGTGTCTTTACAGACAAAACACCGTCGGGTGTCTACACGCTGGTCAGCAGCTTGAAGATCTCTCTCCTCTTTCTCTGCATAGCTGAAATATATTGGCACAGGCTCGCTCGACGAGCTCTGAGGGTGTGTATTCCAACTAAGCCGTGCCGACTTGAAGGTGAAATCGGCATTCCAGGTCACGCTCACCGCTTCTTCAAGAGAAGCCTGAGGCAAACAGAACACTTTCATTCTTGCCACGCCAGTGCGGATGCTTTGAATAAGGACGGTCACTGCGAGAGATTGTCTGCTGCCATCCCGACAACAAGAATTCTCAAGTTTTGAAAAAGTCTACCAACTCCCTCTTACCCTGTCGGGCAGCAAGTAAATGCGATCATACGCGATATGCCTGATTAGGCGGCGATAGCACTCGCAAAAGCTGACGCTTCAGCTCCTTCCACTAGGAATTCGCAGCTTCAACCAGAGGAACGCACGTGAGTGCCCATTCCCGAGCTTAGAGACAGCTATCGCCACGTGCTGTTGCTCGTTTTGCAGCTTGACGGATGCCATAGCCATCTCGGCCTCTCATATCCAAAGCTGGAGAATATCTCCATACGTACCCTCGACGGTCTTAACGCTCACCAAAGCCGGCCCGAGTCGGAAGAAATCATTCCTCGTCTTCGGTGGCGTCATAAACGGGATCGACACCGACAGCTTCTGCTGTAAGTGGTCAACCAAAGCTTTTTCATAGCTTAAAAACGCCTCCAGGCGGGAGCTTATGGCCTCGACCCCTTGTGCTACGATCAGTGCCCAGCAGGGACATCAGCTTATTAAGCCCGTCCGGCATGCCATGGGGCAAATATGAGTATTGCTTCATCCTCTCAGAGGATTAGTCGTAACGACTCAGGTGTAGATTGACTAC